ATTTTCTTGATTGTTGAGTGATGTGGGAGGGCCCAGCCCACTGTGGGTGGTGCCACCCCTGGGCAGGTGGGCCTGTGTTGGATAAGAAAGCAGGCTGAGCAGGGGCCAGGGGAGCAAGCCAGTAAGCAGCATTCCTCCATGGCCTGTGCTCCAGCTCCTGCCTCCAGGCAAGAGCCCTGAGTTCCTACCTTGGGGTCCCTGATGTTCCTACCTTTGGCTCCCTGATGAACTGTGACCCGGGATATGTAAGCTAAATAAACCCTTTCCTCCCCAAGTTGGTATTGGTCAGAGTGTTTTGTCACAGCAATGGAGACAGCAGTGTTCTTGGAACTGCATGGCTTAAAGGCATGTGCAGTGCAAAGTATGCATGCTGCATGTTCAGAAGCTGGGGTTTAAATCATACAATAATCAAAGACAAACAAAAGAAAACACAGACATTAAACTGGTATCTTGAGTGAAAGACTCCTATAAAGCATATGTGGGGTTTGTTGTTACTTCCTTTAGTGTTACTATAATCTTGGTTTAATTAAAATTTAACATGCCTTTAGGGCAAAAGGTTCAATACCCTAGGAAAGAAAAGAAAGCAGTAATTTAACAGGAAAGTACTTTGGCTTTAAAGGTCTTTAAAGACACTTACCAGTTTAACTTCAATGCTTGTGGCGCCAGCATCCAAGGAGTTTTCAATGAGCTCTTTCACAACACTGACCACTGAAGTGATTATCTGAGAGCTGGAGAGGAGACGAACTGTTGCTGCAGACAACTGCTTCATTCTAGCTTTTAGCAGAATAGCTATAAGAGAAAATCACAGGCTGTAAAAATAAGACTTGCTAAGCATTCCTGAGTGATGGAATTGATAACAGTAACACATGATATATAGTTAACAGTTCACCTGTATGGAATCACAACATATGCTCTATTTTAAGTTTATACAGTATAAAATAACTTATTTCTTCCTAATAATCTTTTGAAGTAGGCTATCATCTCCATTTTGTAAGATTACTGAAGCACGGAAAGGAAACTGAGTTCATTCAGTTACTGGAAGGCAGGGCTAAGAATTAAATACAGGCAAGGCATACAACATGCCCTCTACTAATTTGTGATCTAGTTACCTCTCACAAATAAAAATGTCCCAAACACGTGTAAAAAAAACCACAATAAATGGACTTTCAGGTAACACTGTACACTGAAAGCTGCCTCCATGTGATTCAGTGAAGAAGAAATATCAAAATAACAAAAAGACTATTCCAAAGAGAAGAGGAGGAAGAGCTTTGGAAATTTACAAAGGTATTGATAGAACAGCTGGTTGAATGCAGAGAAAAAGATGGATGCCACACTGAAAAGTGATCCAAGCCCAACACAGCTCCAGGGACGACGAAAAATTAATTTAAAATCAACTATGTAATGAAGCTGAGGTCTTACTGGAAGCACTTGTCCATGTTGTACTGCATGATTTCATCATGCCCTTGGTTCTCAGCATACAGCACCCACACTGCACCGTGCATGTCACCACGCCACCCAATGTTATGAATGATGCTGCAAAAACTTGACACAAATTCAAGATACTGTGCATTATGAGCTGCTATTGTTATTTTTTGTTGTTGTTGGTGGTCTTTTTGAGCTGCCATTATTTTACCATACATACAAAATTTCCTGGTCTTACAGAAACATAATGTGTTCATCAGGGAAAACAATAACTTTTAATATTTTCCCACTATTATTCCTTAGCATATAAGTATCAAATTAGTATATCTTTGGATTGTATTGTGTTAGAATGTTAGATTTTAAAAACTGCTGTTTGCATTGCATTAAAAGAGAGAAACAGCCAGGCATGGTTCCACACGCCTTTAGTTCCAGCACTTGGGAGGCAGAAGCAGGTGGATCTCTGTGAGTTCGAGCCCAGCCTAGTCTATACAGTGAGTTCCAGGCCAGCTGGGGTTACAGTGAGACCCTGTCTCAAAAAACAAAAATCAAGAAAACAAAACCAGAGAGACAGAGACAGAGACAGAGACAGAGACAGAGAGAGGCAGACATGGCTTGGTGGTTAAGAGCACTAACTGCTCTTTGTAGAGGACCTGTTTTGGTTCCCAGCACCCACAGAATACCTAACAATTGTCCATGACTCCAGTTTCAGGGGATCTGGCACCCTCTTCTGGCCTCTACAGGGATTTCATGCAGTGCTACACTTGCATACATGCAGGCAAAACACTCATACACACAAATAAAAATAAACTAAAAAAATGTTTCAAGAACACATTGTCTTGAGACTATAACAGAATTTCCAACAATTTCTGAAATAGACCTCAACATAAGTCTGTCATTTCATACAAGGTGATTATAAAATCAGCATTGGTGATTATAAAATCCAAATGTCAATGACCTTTGAAAAAGCTCTGAAGATGCTCTACACATTGCATTATCAGACATTCAGTCAAGATTTAATTCTGTATGTGAAAGAAGCACATTCATCTTACTTTTACTAGTATGCAAACTTGCCTTTAATAAATGGCAAAATTACACACAGACTCACCACACCCCGCCAAAGAATTGTCTTAAATTTCTTTATAATTCATCAGTGGAAGTTTGATTTGTGTACTTATTTTATATCTCTACATGCTGAAGGTCATGTAAAAACTGAGTGAAAAGGAGCCACAAGGAAACAGCTTAAGCAGTCCTAGAGCACAAGACTTGGCAATAAATCCACACAGCTACAGGCGCCTAATTCCTGATACAGGTGTCAAAAATACAAACCAGAAAGGCTGCCTTTTCAACAAATGGTGCTTTGAAAATTACATATCAACATAAAGAAAAGTGAAATTACATTCACATCTTTCACCTGTACACAAACAAAGCCAAACTGGATCAAAGGCTTTACTGTAAGAACTGAAACTTTGGGGCTGGTGAGATGGCTTGGCAGGTAGAGAAGCTAGTGTACAGGTCTGGTAACCTGAGTTGGATCCCCAGATTCCACAAGGTGGAAGGAGAGAACCAACTTCTCAGAATTGTTCTCAGCCATCCATACATGTACACAAGGGTGAGAATGTGTGCCCACAAGCACACTTGTGCAAACACAAAATAAACTATGCATTAAAAATAAAAGTCTGAAACCGCTGGAGAAAAGCAGAAAGGCATTTCAAAATACAGGGATAGGCAAGAACTTTCCAGAAAGAATCCCAATAGCATATAAAAAAATTCCAAGAACTGACTAACAAGATTATATGAAATTGACAAAACTTTTACAAGTTTATTTTCACAGTGGAAAACAGTTAACACAGAGGCTTACAACCAATCAAAATACAGAGAACAAGTATTTGTGGAGTGCTCAGTCATAAATAGGACATTCATATTACACCCCTTACCCCCAAGGCTCAGAGAACTTAGCAGGAGAGGGGGAGGAAAGATTTTAAGAGTCATGGGCTGGGGAAGACTGCTGTGAAACAGTGCTTCTGGCATGATAGGGGTGTTACATGTATGAACTCACAACAGCTGTGATCACCTGCACAAGATTAAGCCAGTCAATACTCCAGTATGAATGGGGGGGGTGCTCACAAAAGCCCCAACCCTAGTAAAGACCTACTGCCAGTTGATGGCTTCAGGGGGAGGGAAAGCCAGTTTTCTTCACAGGTTTGATAGGGTACCCATGTTCCAGTGGATGGTCCTGCACCCATGTGCATACAGGCAGCACTAACTGGACTCTATGGGTTACTTAAAAAGACAGTAAGGAATTCTCATAAGAAAAAGGACTCTATGGGTTACTTAAAAAAAAAAAAAAAAAAAAAGGATGAAGATATGAAGTTGGGAGGGAGACATGAGGGGTTCCAGAGAACCAGAGGAGTTGGGGTGGGTGGGGGGGATGGCTACGATCAAACTACATTGTACACATGCAAGGACTTCTCAAATAATAAATAAAAATACTGTATTAAAAATAAAGAAAAGCTTCTACACAGCAAAGGACATAATCACCATAGTGGATAGCCCAGAGTAGAAAATAATCCTTGCCAATGTATCATACAGAGGATTAAGCATAATATATAAAGAACTGCATAACTTAAGAACCAAAATCCCCCAATTTATTCAATCAATAAATGCTGAACAGGCAGTTCTCAAAAGCAATACAAATGGCTAACAAATATTTCACGAAGTACTCAAAATCCTTAGCCATCACAAAAATGCAAAATAAAACTGCTTTGAGATTCCATCTCATCCCAGGCAGAATGGCTGTCATCAACAAAACAAGGGATGGGGCTGGAGAGGTGGCTCAGCACTTGCTGCTCTTCCAGAGGATCCAAGTTCGTTTCCAGAACCCTGAGCTCACAACCTCCTTAACTCCAGCTCCAGGGGATCTGGCAGTGTAGTCTGGTTATTATCATAACATTCACATAAATTAATATTGTCACAAAGGGACCTTCCATACCCTTCTAAAACTTCAGCCTAGCTTCAGGTCTCAGGAAGAACTATACTGTGTAGTATAGTAGTCACAGCCACATGGCAAGGTCTGAGAAGCTAAAATATGAATACTTTGAACCGAAATGGCTAATACATACTAGATTAAAAACTCAGCATTTAAAAAAAAAAAAAACCATAAAATTTGGAGGCTGGAGAGATGGCTCAGTGGTTAAGAGCACTCACTGGTCTTGCAGAGGACCTGGGTTTAGTTCCCAGCACCCACATGGCAGCTACCAAACGTCTCCAACTGCACCACCAGGGGATCCAACGCCCTCTTCTGGTCTCTGTGGGGACTGCATGACACAGGTACACTTACATACATGCAGACAATACACTCATATGCATAGAATAAAATAAAAATAGTTTTGTTTTGTTTGGTTTTTTTTTTTTTTTTTTTTTTTTTTTTTTTTTGTCTTTTTGAGACAGGGTCTCTCTGTAGCCCCAGCTGTCCTGGAACTCACTATGTAGACCAGGCTGGTCTTGAACTCACAGAGATCCACCTACCTCTGCCCCCTGAGTACTGGGATTAAAGGCGTGTGCCACCACGCCCAGCTAACAAAATTTGGTTAACTTTTACACTGGTTATAGGACAAATGCTAGATATAGTAGCTGAAATAAATGTAGATAATACTGACACCATACGGTTACAGTAAAGAGAAAAGGTAATGTATATAAAGGGCTTGTTACGGTGTCGGGCATGTAAATGCTAAAAGATTCCAAGTTAAGTTCAATCAGATTCCTAAATGACCAACCTACCATCTTTAACTGCTATCCCCAGAGAGGATAACTCATCAGAATTTGGGTTCAAGTCTCCTTTCTCAGTTTTAAAATCCCAGGGATCTAAGAAAAACACTGAAAAACAAAGTTTGGAGATATTCACTCAATCCCACCATAACCTTGTTCTGCAAACTTTCTTAATCTCATTATTTTTGTCTGATTCACTACAATGCCTCCCTCAAAATATTTTTTCAAAACCCTAATTTCTTCCCAATTTTTTTTTTTATTTTCCAAGTTTAGAGATCACAGCACTTAATAGCCACTGTGTCCTGTGGTTTCACAAAATGACTATCCTTCCCCAGTCTCCTTCTTTCAGCTCCAAGTCAATGTCCTCTCCTAGTCAACTCCTATGATTTGAATGTTTACATTCTCCTGAAAGAAGGAGGTGGTGCAACCCTATGGGATATGATTAGGCCAAGAGAGTGAAGCACTCATGACTTGGAGCCGTGTTCTTATAAAAGAGGTCCTAGAGCCTTCCTGATTCCTTTGCATCATGTGAGGGCAGAGTAAGGTGCCATCCATGAGCCAAAAGGCAAGCCCTCACCAGATATTGAAGATACTGAATCTGCTTGGAACTCAGACTTACCAGCTTCCAGAGCTGTGGAAAGTTTCTCTTATTTATAAGCTTCTCAGTACATGGTATTTTGTTATAACAGCTGGAACAGACAAAAGCACTGACACTCTTACCTAGCTTTGCTTATCTAGCCTCCGTAAAAGCATGTTGGCCTGGAAAGCGAAAACTAGCCAAATACTTTCCTCAACCTTATTTCTCCTTTCTTGTAAGGCCAAACTTGAGGAAATACTCTATTATCTCCTGTTACAAATTCCCTATCACCAACTCATTTCAAAAATCCTTGCAAAACTGCTTATAACTACAACCACTGCTATAGGATTCTATTCTCTTTGAGTTCACCAATGATATCTGAAGACATTAAACCCTTTTCTCAGGACCTACACTGCTTGTTTGTTTTAGTACTAAGGACTGAACCCAGGGTCTTGCATATGCTAGACAAGCACTCTCCCACTGAGCTACATCCCCAGCAAGGACTTGTACTTGTTCACTTCCCTGAAGTATGTCAGACCAATACTACCTAATTCTCAAGGATATTACCATCTGCCCGTCTTCAACTTCTTTATATTTTCTTAGCTTTCCTCACATAAATGTAAGCATTTCCCAACCCTTCTCCCCCTTTCTTAGATCTTAAAATCACATCTTTAATCTATATCCCTAAGTGATCTTGCTCTTCCCAGACAGGCACTTCTAACAATAACTGGCACTGCTACCTCAAGTAAGCACCTGTAAAACATAAAGTATCAATTGTCTTGCCTTCCACCTAACTTTACTCTCATAATAATATACTAATATTGATCACCACCATCTAAAACTTCCATCTTCCTTTGTCAGCAAACTCTTTTTGTACCCCCTCACCCCATAGCCTCTTAATGAAGTGTGACTTGCCATTCTGTACTTAACATTTCAGTACCAGCCACAACAATCCTTTCTGATCACCCAATGGAATGACCCTTCTCTCTCACAACATTCCTATGTGGCTTGTATCATTCATGTGATACTTGTCCAACTTTATCCTGAACTGCACAATCTTCCAAGTGCAAGGAATCATATAGCATCTACCTCTGTATGCCATAAAGAGCAATTACTGTACTTCAATCATGGTGAGCACTTCATGAATATTAATACAGGAAAACTAAGAATAATTTTAACAGCATTTTTCTTGTACAGTGCCTTCCCACCAAGTTATTCCTGCCTCAAACCCATTCCCTTTGCATATTTAATTCTAATTCATACCATTCCCCTAGCCCAAATGTACCTCTTAACAACTTTTTTCTGAACTCCAGGACCTTATTTACCTACCTTCTAAATATCACATTTAGATGATGTGGAGATAACATAAACTTTATTATACCTCAGAATCTTTTGTTTTCTTCCTAAAATCCTGTTTGATAGTAAAAATAATAGCAACATAAGAACTTTCAAAACATGTTATCTCTTTAATCCTCAAAATACTCCCATTCCTCTATCACAAAAGGCATTTAAAAAGCTTAATAACTTGCACAAGATTTTTTTATAGGGCAGATGTATATCCTAGCATGTTGTGACTTCAAACCCAAATCTTTGAACACTTTCAATCCAAGAACATAAAGCAAATTTGGAAACCTTGAAAACATGGTAGAATACTAATATTAGATTGTATCTCTGCATTGTGGCACCTAGTCCTGTATAACCCTCATCCTAAGTATTTCTCAATATAGTCCTTTCTTTTCAGCACTGCCTTTGATCAACCCCTTCAGGTTCTAGTCTGAATGACTTCAATATCCATCTAATTGACATTTCTATTTGAATCTCAACCAATATAAGCTGTTTCTACAATTTAAATTTCATCACATTACTACCCTACTTTAAATTTTTTAAAGATTTTTCAATTGCTAAGTGGGTTAATTATAAACTCCTTACAGCTAGATCTCTACCTACCTTTCTAATTTCATCCCATTTTCTAAATGTGGATTAAGCCAGCCATATTATACAATTTGGCTCTCTTAACTTTTATATGAGGATATGCATTTTGGGTCACATGATTTCTTTCTGGGGTGCCTTTCAGATTTAGCCCAAGTATCAGCTCTAAAAAAAAAAAAAGCCTTTTTTTCTCTGTTCCAACCCCCTTTAGCTCCCAACAGATTCTGTATTCTTTATTTTTAGTTCTAACCCACTAAAGGCTATTTATCTGTAAATGAATAAATAAGCTGCCAGTACATGGGAAGTACCTTCCTCTTAGCTCAGAATGCTTTGAAGACAGATAATTTGTTAATCACATATTCCTGGGATGTGGCATCCTAACAGATATGTATCAAATTACCTCTTCTGAACAGCAAAAGCATTCATGCCAGGCTTATAGCACAGACCATCTGTGAATGTCAAAATGGACTTTCACATTTGCTGAAGAAATGAACGCTTTTGCAAGCGTGCTGATGATCAGAAAACATCACTTAAAGGTATACCTAAAAAAAAGTACAGGGTATGGAGAGATGGCTCGGCGGTTAAGAAGACTGGCTGGTCTTGCAGAAGACCGGGGTTCGAATTCCAGCACCCACCTGGCAGCTAGCAACTGTCCATAACTCCAGTTCCAGGGTTCTGTCCTCTGCAGGCATTGCACAACACGGGTGCACTTACCTACATGCAGGCATAACACTCATACACATAAAATATTTTTAAAAAGAAGTACAGATCAGAGAACTCAAAGAATTTCTCTTCAACTTTAAAATGTTTTTCAAATTCAGCAATAAAAATCACAAAAATTGCATCGCCAAGGTAATGTAATTTCAAAGACGATTCTAAATAATCGATTAATCAACTCCTTTTCTTTCCTTCCTCAAATGAGATCAATTTTCGGTATTCACATTTCCTCAGGATGTACTACAGGTGACGGCCTTTAAAAAAGATAGACGCGGTGACACCAGCAAAAATCGTGACTAAATGTAGTTTACTTGGACTCTTGTATGCCACAGCATACAGTATTATAAACCGCTACATTCTCTACCAAGACAATTAAGATTTTTTGTAATTTAATCTACAAGAAAAACAACTTTCCAGTCTTGCACCCCCGGAATGGCTGAGTGACAGCTCCAATAACCGCTCGCCCGTGCTCAGGGCGCCTAGCCCGCCTCCGAACACGCGGCACGTGTGCGCGCCCGGAGCCGCAGGTCGGCTTCCCGCCCTTGAGAGGCGCCTCCAGCCGGAGGCCGGCGCTCCGACCTCCCCGAGGATCCTCATGGGTGCTCGTTCGCCGTACGACTCTACCTTCCAGCTCGGACGAGGAAAGGCAATTGTCACCCGCTACGGCGGGCAGCCCGCATAAGCCAAGCAGCAGGCCCTACTGGGCAAGATGTACTCCCCGCGATCGTAGTGCGCAGGCGCCCAGGGGCGGGCACACGCTAGCCCTTAACCCCGCCCCAACAGAGACGTGCGATTGGCACCATTGGCAGCCAATTGGTAGCCTGCAGTGCGGCTCCGAAGACTTCCGCTAGCTGCGCCGCGCACCAGTGGTGTTCGGAGCTTGTGGGTATACTATCGTTGCTGGTGCCGCTGGGCTGGTCCTGCGACGTGCCCGGCCGCCGGGAGCTGGCGGCAGGTAAGAGATGGACGGGCTGGGTCGTGCGGCTTCCTTGGCCCCGGCAGCTGCCCGAGGGGCGGGGTCGGCATGGGGAAGAGCGGGTCCGTCTGCATCCGCGGCGCTCACGCCTGGGCAGGCCAAGCGTCCACAGGACTTGCCTCTCCCTTCGTGGTCGTCTTGCCTCGGGCTGAGGGATGTGCAGCTGCGAAGGTAAGGGGCTGGCGGGAGTTTCCGCTGACTCGCGTCAGCTGGGGTGCTACCCACCGGGGTCCTTTGATTTGGGGGCCCAGGCGCCTGCCGGCGGCCGAAACACCTATCAGATAGCTGGAAAGTCATTGTTCGCGGCTGCTGGAGAGGCATGGCATACTTGCTGCCGAGGGAGTTCTCTGTTGGGGGTGGATCAGTTTGAGGCCTCCTTCGGGTTGTATTTCCATACTGTGGAAAATGGGAAAATTATCTTGAGTGGTGTCATGTTCTAAGTATTATACCATTTACATTTAAAAGTGCATTATAAGCAGTGACTTTTCAAGAAAACTTTACACGACACTGTGTCAGTATAACTTTCATCACCGTAATCCTTGATTGTCCACTCCTTTTTGGAGTTTGAAAGGAGCATTACACTACAAAACGCTTGCTCCGAAGGGTTATGAGAAATTCCTCTCTCCTAACTCTGTATTAAAAAGGGTTTTTTATATTTTTGAATGGGATCTGTTACAGATGTAAGATAGCTGTCTTTCCACTTTCTGAAATAATGCCTATTTCATTATTATTTTTAATCAGTTATTAGACCCAAGTAAACAGCATCTTTGTGATGATTGCTATTAACAGTTCTTCCTTTGGTGTTTAATCTTGAACATAAAAAGAGACAGCCTTAGAAAAAAAGAAAGACTAAAATTAGGGAAATTGAAGAACTATTCAGGAGAAGATTTATGGCTTTAACCTAGTTGTTACAAAACTGAATTTCTTCACCTTGTAAATCTTGCACAATATGTTTCTTCTAGGTTCACTATTCAAAAGGAGGTACACAGATAGACATTGTTGGGATACAGCTGTAGTCCCAACAGTTGGGATGCTGAGGCAGGAGGATTACTTGTGAGTTTGAGGACAGTGTGAGCCACGCAGTGAGACTGTCTCAAAAAGAAAACAAAAGAAAGAAGGTGCTTTGAATTCTGGTTGCAATGTTCCATTACATGTTAGCATCTGGCTACTCAAAGTGACTAGGTCACCTCTGCCCTTTAAAAAAATATTTCTATTGGAGATTATTGTGTCATGCCACACACATACTTTTTTCTCTTTAAGGTTATTTTTAGAATTTTAAGAGACTGACCTCAAATTCTTGGCAGTCCTTCTGCCTCAGTCTCTTGAGTGCTGGGATTACAGGTGTGTACCAACCCATTTAGTAAAACAAGTTAGAAGGCAAGCTTTAGAAAAGGAAACCATACAAATTAGTCTTATTTATCTAACCATAGAGTCATGTTAATGATTCTTCATTGCTTATGTCAACATTTATAAGTAGCCTGTTTTGGAGGATGTGCTTCATTTCAGAATGAGGAAGAAAAAAAAAAAATCATACCATTTTGCCATGTCAGAATTGTGGTATTTAGGTTTCTAGTTTATACGTATCACTGTTGATTCATTTTATTTCTTCCCTACAGAGCAAACATGAATGTTGGAGTTGCCCACAGTGAAGTGAATCCGAATACTCGTGTAATGAACAGCCGGGGTATGTGGCTGACATACGCACTGGGAGTTGGCTTGCTTCATATTGTTTTACTCAGCATTCCCTTCTTCAGTGTTCCTGTTGCTTGGACCTTAACAAACATTATACATAATCTGGTAAGAATTTCATCTTGTTCTATACATTTAAAACCCTAAGGTTCAGTGGTTGTCAGGGGGTTAAGGGAAAGAAGAACTGACAAGTTATTTAATGATAAGAGTTTCAGTTTAAAAAGATGAGAAAAGTTCTGGAGATAAATGATAGTGGTGATGGTTCCATAACAATATGAATGTATTTAATACATTATGAAGAAAATCTGCATTTTAATCGTGTTTGGAGGGAGGGGGGCATTGTTTGAGTCTTGGGAGTTGAACTCAGGGTCCTATGAGTGCTAGGCAAAAAAAGAAAAAAGAAAAGAAAGGTAGGACATAAGGTCACTTTAGTATTGTGGTAATGCCTTTTCCTATACATGTCCCATAAATGTGATCAAAGCCCTGTCTTTTTCTATTTCTCTACCAGCTTACACACTCTCATTTCCTTGTCAGGTAGATTATTCTAGTAGATCATGTATTCACATGCCTCTGTTTTCTACCCTCTTTTCAAATGTGACATTGAATTTTTTCTTTTCTTTTTTGATCTTTTTGAGACAGGGTCCCCCTGTAGCCCCAGCCTGCCTGGAACTCACTATGTAGACCAGGCTGGCCTTGAACTCACAGAGATCCGCCTGCCTCTGCCTCCCAAGTGCCAGGATTAAAAGCTTTGCACCACCATGCCTGGCTTAGAAATATTTTTAAAATGTATGTCTGCACATGGCATGTAAGTTCTTTAAAGAGTCAATCCTTTGTATTTAAGGTAAAAAAAAATCCCAAGTTCATTGGGTGGCATAAAACCAGTTAATAAAAATAGAAATCCTTTTTAAAGGCTTTTTGTTACTCTTTTTCTATTTTGAGGGGGGTGGGGGGGGACAATGACACGGTCTGAACTATGTAGCTCTGGTTGGCCTGGAACTGGCTAGATCAGACTGGCCTTTAACTCACAGAGATCTGCCTGTCTCTATTTTCCCAGGTGCTAGGATTAAAGGTATGCACTATCATGCATGGCAAAAAGTCAGTGTTAGTTCAATAGTTCAACAGATCTCTTCTGCAGCAGTCTGGAAAGTTCACTGTCAGCTGTGCTTTGGCTTCAGCCATTCTGTTCTCATACATGTTCTCATTCCTCCTGTCTGTGTGGCTGATTCCTACCTGTCTATCAAAACTACTCAGGTTTCACCTCCAGAAATCTCTACAGCTCTCTGTACTTTATTATATATTCATTGTAGTTTTGTAATTGGGAGTTTAATCTCAATTATGTATTTATTTTGGTTTTTTTAATATTTTATTTTTTTATGCGTATGTGTGTATTGCCTGTGTGTAGGTAAGTGCACCCGTGTCGTGCAATGCCCAGGGAGGTCAGAAGAGGCTGTCGGATCCCCTGGAACTGGAGTTATGGACAGTTGTTAGCCACCATGTGGGTGCTGGGATTCGAATCCCGTCTTCTGTAAGAACAGCCAGTGTTCTTAACCACTGCGCCATCTCTCCAGCTCCTTATTTTATTTTTATTTTTTTAACTGAATGTTTTTAACTTTTTTAATTTTTATTTTATGAATGAGTGTATTGCATGCATGTATGTAACTATACCCATGTTGTGCAATCCTGTGGAGATCAGAAGAAGACATTGGATCCCTTGGAACTGGAGTTATGGTCAGTTGTTAGCCACCATGTGGGTGCTGGAAATCAAACCTAGGTTCTCTACAAGAGCAGCCAGTGCTCTTAACCACTGAGCCATCTCTCCAACCCCCTTATTTTGTGTTGAAGTGGGGTCTCACTCTGTAGTCTAGGTTGGCCTTGAACTTGACAGTTACCCTGCCTGAGCTTTCTAAGTGCTAGAATTACAGGAGTGAGCTACCACATCTTGTGTCTTTATATTCTGTTTTCTCCTTGATTGACTAGAAATTGAGGCTCAGTATATGACTATGAACAAAGAGTAGGTAATTGGCACAAGGTAAAAAGCAAATTTCTCATTTATTAGCTCATCATGCTGAAAACTTAACCATAGATGTAGCAATTACTGACTGTAATTTAAGGTTTCCTTTGAAGATAGCTTACATTTAAGCCAATTAAAATTGTAAGATACATTGTGAATGCTTTTTAAATGAGGAAATAGAACTAATAACTATTTTTTTTCCAGAACCATTAGGAGAAGTCTGCAGTGATTGTTTTCACTGGGAGCTATAGTTCATTCTTTTATTTTATTATTTTTAAGGATTTATTTTTAAGTGTATGTGTTTGTGTATGTATGCACACATGTGTGCAAGTACCCATAGAGGCCAGAAGAGGGTGTCAGATCCCTGTAGCTGTAGCTGCAGACAGCTCTGAGCCACCTCTGACCATGGGTGTTGGGAACAGAACCGGGATCTTCTGCAAGAGCAGCAAGTGCTCTTAAGAGCTGAGCCATCTTTCTAGCCCTTCTACAGTTCATTCTTAAAGATTATGTTAACACATAGGTATAAAATGAGTGCGAATTCTGAGTCAGCTAAGTGATAGTACATGAGATACATACTTTCTTTTCCTAATTATTTTGGTTTATGAATCATTATCATTTCATTAATGCTTTTGTCAAAACCTAAAAGTAAGGATACTAGGAGAGAAGATAATATGGTCACAAAAGATGTATTCTTTGTGAGGGGGCAGGGGGATGGGGGTGACACTGGGGATTGATCTATGGCCTCACACATGCTGGGCAAGCATGGTATCACAGAGATACATATATACAAATCTTTGCTACTGAAAAGGATAAAGTTTGAATATCACATTCTAAACACTAGTAAGTGCCTATGACTTGAAGAAAATAGCAAAGGATTGTTCTCCTAGATTCTAACAGCTATGTGATAATAGAGAGGAGGTTCTCAACTTTTGAGGGGTTATACTCCAAAGAATTTAAGTATACACTTCCTGTTTCATTGTTCTCTTTAAAGCCTTTGTGAAAGTGGTTTCCTGGTGCTTATACTGTAAACCCTCCTTGCTAATACACTTGCTCTCTACTAGCCCTTGTTCCTGGGGTATTTAGGCTAATGGAAAAACATACATTATGCAAAAATACAACTTATTGCCATGTCAAAAAAGGTTTGAAATCTTTGCAAGCACATAAACAGGACGTTAATTATTACTAAAGAAGTTTCACTAAGGAGTTGTCATTTGAGCTGAACCGTCATGGATGAGGTAGTTGAAGTGGTGGCATCAAAGCAGCCTTAATAGAAAGAAATCATATTTTCTGAGTATTCTGGTTGTGTTTTAGGTACCAATTTGTGCTCTACTTTCTAGTTGTTTATACTTACCTTTTTGTATATTACAACCCCATAGAAGACTAAATTATTTCTCAGGCTAGAGATACATACTTGTTCTGTGTCCTCTGCACATAAACCACTCATTAAAATGTTTATTAAGTGCTATGGAACCTGAGTATTTTCCTCAATTGCATAGGTACTACTGTAGCAGTTTTATTTCTGTCCCAATTATACTTTTTCAAATATTATTTTTTTCATTTTATGTGTATGAGTGTTGCCTGCATGTATGTGAGTGCTTTTATGTCATGCAGTGCTGCGGTGGTCAGAAGAGGGCTTCGGATTCCCCTGGAACTGGAGTTAAGGATGGTTCATAGCCACCATGTGGGTGCTGGGAATGGAACCCGGGTCCTCTGCAAAAGCAGTCAGTGCTCTGAACCATTGAGCCATCTCTCCAGCCCCCAATTATACTTCTATTTCATATTTTTTTGAATTAAATTTTTTAGTCAACATACAAAATAATGGGTTTCATTATGACGTTTTCTTATGTATATATGCTTATACCTTACTCATATTCTGTCTTCCATGCCCCTCACAAATTGGTCCCATTCCTCCCCCAATAGCTTCCTTCTGCTTGCCTGTCATATGTACAACATGAAGTACGTTTTAAAATCTAGATTCCGCATGTGAGATAAAATGTATACATTTTATCCCCCTCATTAACCTTCTCTCATCCCCCTCTCATTATACCCTTCCTCTTCCCTTATAGTTACCCTTCTGCTTTCATTTCCTATGTATGTGTGTATAGATTAAAATCTAGAATCTGCATGAGAAAATATGCAGATTTTTTTCTTTCCCTTATTACCCTCTTGTTACCCCTCTTCCCACTTGTAATTTATATTCTATATTCATATCAGATAGATGCACACACAGGTGTTCATTCATTATAGGTGAATGAAACTTCACTGTGTATATATCTCACATTCTCTCTATTCACTACTCTGTTGATTGGCATCTAGGCATGTTTCATATCTTTGCTATTATGAATAATGCAGTAATAGACATGGATATGGTAAATAGTAAGCAACTTTTATTTTTGGTTAATGAAAACTGGTTACTTTTGATTGGTCTTGTACTGATCTTCACCAAATAATATTTACATACCCCAGAGAGCTTTATTTTACAGACTCTGGCTGTAGTCTTTCACTATTATATGAAAGCCTAAAACTTTGAGTCATTAATTTAAATCATATACTTTGACAGAGGTGGTCTAGAACATCATAGTCCTTATTTGGAAGGACTAATTTTGTGTTTGATTATCCTCTCTTGATTGTTTTCCAGGGGATGTATGTATTTTTGCATGCAGTGAAAGGAACACCTTTTGAAACTCCGGACCAGGGTAAAGCAAGGCTCCTAACTCATTGGGAACAGCTGGACTATGGAGTACAGTTTACATCTTCACGGAAGTTTTTCACAATTTCTCCAATAATTCTGTAAGTGGTAGAAATATTTAGGTATAAAGAAAGTTGGATAAAAGGAAAGTTCATTAATCAGATTAAATTGAATGTTAAACAGAATATTTTGTTAAAAACTTTTATCAGTAAGTTGTTAACATGAGTAGTAAGGTATAAGCAAAATTTCTAACAAGTTGATAACAAACCAGTCTAGACACTCTTGAATATACAGATCAAGTATGTTAGTATCTGTCTTCATTTTCTTATAAGTATAAATGTGTAATTATATTGCATATCAGATTATTCACCCTAAATAATGATTTAGATGATAAGAATTTTATTGGCTACCCTTCCCTATTCAGGTAGCCCAGTTCAAGCTCCTTGAGAAAAGAGTGTGGTTTAGGAAAAAGAGAGGTCAGGTCTTCTGTGTGAATATAGACCTGGGTTGAATCTTGTATCATCCTGTCTTCTTGATTTGCTTGTACATAAAATTTAACTAGGGCTAGGGATGTAGTTCAGTTGGTAGAGTGCTTTCTTAGCATGCACAAGGCCCTGGGTGTGGTCACCAGCCCCTTCAAAACCAGGCATAGTAGCTGAATCAGGAAGTTCAAGAACTTAGACACATAGCTAATTCAAGGCCAGCCTGGTTCTGGGTTATAGGGGATCCTTTCTCACCCAAACATTCTAATCTAAACACACTATTATTAGTTTTCATTAAAAGATGGAAAAATAGGTGGCTGCAGAATAAGAAGCCATATCAAGATTTATTATTTCCAACCTATCAAATTATAGATTAAACCCATACCAGCAATGGCAAGTCTCACTGGATTACTAAATGTAATTGATAATGCTGTTTGTTCAGTGATGTGGTATAAAAATAGTCTTCAAGCACGTGAAAGCAAAAAGAAAATTCACAATAAAAATTGAGAAATGTGGTTTAAGTGGAGGATTGTAGAATTTCTTAATGTAGAAGGTTCTAAAAATTATTTTATTTGTGGTTTCTAACATGTTCTTTGTGCAGGTAGCTATTCTTTTCTAACCATACTACACAAGATGTCTAGATGTCTAGATATGGTGGCTTACACTTTTAAACCGAGCTCGATGGAGGCAGAGGCAGACAGGTCTCTGATAGTTCCCAGCTAGCTAGGGCTACATAGTAAGACCCTGTCTCAAAATAACAACAAAAAGATGCCTCCTTTTATGAAACACTAATGACAAAGTTAAAGACACTTCTCTATGTCCTTTTATATGCTATGCACTTATAGCAAAACAGCTGGGATTTTACAAGTATGTCTTTCAAGTTTCCAGTTAGACTGGTTATAGACCTGCTCAGCTGTAGCATGGAAATGGTAACATCAGAAGGGTGATCGAGTCTTTCTTTCTTTCTATGATGCTGAATTGTACTAATGTACTAAAACTCTTATTTTTCAAAGCTGTGCCCTACTGGTTCTTGACCTTTTGGTGAGTCACAAAGGCCCTTGAGAATATGACAGGTGTTTAAATCCATATTTCTCTTCAGAAGTTCACTTAAACTACAAAACTTATCTGAAATTTCTTAGAGCATGTGAAACTTACTTTGAAAGCCTTCTGTTGCTAAGTAGCAATATTCTCTTAAATGCATTGAATATAATTGCAGAAATGTAAAATGTTTATCTGAAATTTTTAAAACCTGAGGTTAAGAAAAAAGTTTCATTTTATTTTATACTCAAAAATGATTTTGCTGTTAGGCATTTGTGTCTAGTGGTCTTTTTTCTAAATTTTTTTTTCAATTTTATTTTGGGATGCTATCTGTATTCTAATTTTTTATCTCTACAGATATTTTCTGGCAAGTTTCTATACGAAGTATGATCCAACTCACTTCATCTTAAACACAGCTTCTCTCCTGAGTGTACTTATTCCCAAAATGCCACAACTACATGGTGTTCGGATCTTTGGAATTAATAAGTATTGAAATGTTTTTACAACTGAACAAAACTGTTACAGCTACTGTTTCCTCTAAGGAAGGAGTAGTGAACTGCACTGTTTCTGTGATAATGTGAAATAAGGAGTATTTACATTGAAGGACCAATTAATTACCAGTTCTTCATAGGCTGTCTTGAAGTGCAGAATTCTAAACAATGCCTCTGTTTAATGTGTTTGGTATGTTTCTGAGAGAGGCTTTATAGGTAGACTGGGCAGGCCCAGCTTATAAGTTAATGGCAATACAACAAGGGTACAGTAGATAAATCCAAGGAAACGAGAGATTTGTAAGAGACTAGGACCAGTTTATAGTGAATGGGCATTATGTTAGGGAAAGAAGATTCCAATCATTCAGTCATAGTCCATTTAAACAGAATGACATGTAAACCAAAATCATCTGTCTACAAGTGTTTATTGTCATACACATTCCACTTATTTTATATGACATACAAGTCCCTTCCTACTTTATATATGTATGGACCTTTTTGGTTTTGCTGGCTTAGTATTGTATGTTGATAAATGAGGTCATTTTTCCATTTATGACATGACAGAGTTCATGAAGGTCCACCTTCATGCCTGGTCGGGGATAGAAGATAGCCAAGTGTCTTATAGTCAAGTCTCTGAGTCAACATTGTAATTTTGGAACAAAGTGGGTTTTACTGCTTTTCCAGAAACAAGGCTGCTAAACCAATTACAAGAATAATTTATTTCAAGTAGTTCAAGTATAGCATAGTTTAAAGGTAACTATTTATTTGGTTGTACAAGTTAGTAAAGTCTGACATTCTTCAGAAAAGGAAATACAAAATAGAGCCAGCTGTTGTCTGGGAGAACTGCTTCTCTAGGGGTAGAAGTAAAGTAATGGAGATAACATTGTCTTTTCTGTCTTCCTGCTCTTAATACTCAGCTCTCCCATTAATGTTTCCTTTAAATCTGTGGGTCTTAGTGTATGTAGATAACCCCAAATGATAACTATATCCACAGCAACAACTATGGTGAATTCTTGTGACTTAGGGAAGCTGTCTATAGTTGCCAGCATTAATTGCAAGAAATTACTACTACTTTGAGAAATAAATACATTTTTTTAAAGGTATATCTGATAAAGATGAAAAACTCAGTAGCAAAATTAAAGAGTTGTGGAACAACTTAAAAATCAATTTGTATCAAACTGACTTAGGGGTAGTGATCATTGTTTCATATTTCAATAGTACTGAATTTAGAAGTCAGTTGTATGATACTGCCTTTGTACGTTTGTCTTTTTCTGTGTATTTTTTAAAAACTGGTAATCTACACTTTAATAAAACATTTTCCTTGGTGTAAGATTTTTTTTAATATTTTACTCATTGTTTTTATTTCATGTATATAAATGTATTGCTTGCGTGTATATAAGTGCACCCATGCTGTGCAATGCCCACAGAGGTCAGAAGAGGATGTTAGATTCCCCTGGAACTAGAGTTAATGATAGTTGTTAGCCACCATGTGGGTGCTGGGATTGAACCTAGGTCCTCTGCAAGAACTGCCAGTGCTGAGCCATCTCTCTAGCCTGTAAGATTATTTTTAAAGCTTTCCATTTCAGTCATCAAAACAACACTTGACTCTCTTCAAATTTATTTTTAAGCAACTAAATTTGTAAAATTAAAATATTCCTTTAACTTCATTTTTAACTATTATTTTTTAAAAACTTTATGTGTATTGTCTACATGTATGTAGGTGCACCCATATCCTGCAATGCCCACAGAGGCCAGAAGAAGGCATTGGATCCCCTGGAACTAGAGTTAGGATGACTGTTAGCTGTCATATGGGTGCTGGGAATAGAGCCTGGGTCCCATGTAGGAGCAGCCAGTGCACTTAACAGTTGAGTCCTCTCTCCAGCCCCTTAACTTCATTTTTAAAAGTTACGTTTAAGAAAAAAAATAGAAAAATTTTTGCCCTATTTTCTGTGCTTTTCAATTCTTTAAAAATACTCAATTGATACATAAGCCCTGCTGTATTAAATTATTTTAGTTATACAGAGTTTGTAAACAAGAAAAACATGTTCTTTGGAGGTGCTTACAGTCTAGATTCTTCATTGAAGTGATCACTGCCATGGGGTGAGGAGGAGCGGCATCGGCATTAAACAGGTGACAGGCCTGCCTCAGAACAGTTCCATCTAAGGTAACATTTGAATGTAGACACAATAGATGAGAAGTGAGCAGTACAACAATCTGGAAAACGAGGAATGCCAGGAAGAATAGCAACAAATATTAAAGTTCTCAAACATCCATGGACATGTTTAAGGAAGAACTAGAAAGCTGCTGGGACTAGGAAAAAATAAGAGAAGACTTAGCAGGTGACATCCAAGTAGTATAAAGGTCAGATTACAAGTTTTAAGATCAAGGTAAAATGACAGAGTTACACAGATTTAAATGATTAATTGTACTTGGAGGTCACTAAAGTTGAAAATGAACTGAAAGACTAGAATGTGTGAGAACAGCTGGAAACTACCACAGCTAAGTGATAGCTCAGACTAAGGAAGCAGCAGGTCAGAAGTGGTCAGCTTCGCAGCATACTTTGAAAGTACAGCTTGTATAAGGCACTGGTGAATGCTGGATAGCAAAAGGGAATGAAGTGTTTTGGTCTGAGCCTCTAGGTGAATGGTTTTATTAAACCTAAAAATGCCAGTTCCACAAATTTATACTTTAAAAAAAAGCAAAAAAAACCTGTCAAAACACAAACACAAAACCTAACCATCTAGGTCAGGAGACATGCAACTTGTAAGTAGGCATGAGCCATTAATTTCAGCCATTAATTTATGAATGGACCACTTTTTAAGAAAGATTACATATTTTATATTTGTGTGTACATGTGATGTCTATGTGGGGGTTGGTACATGAGTACAGTATCCATGGAGACCAGAAGAAGCTGTTGGATCCCCTAGAGCTGGGGTTCTAGGCAGCTGAGAGGTACCTGCTGTGGGTGCTGGCAACCAAACTCAGATTCTCTGCAATAGCAATAAGCACTCTTAACCGCTGAACCATCTCTCCAGCCCATCAGTGGATCTTAAATGCAGTAATGTTTAGCATGGAGTACTAATGATTTTCTGTTTCCTTCATTTCAGTTTTGACTACTGTGAATTCGTCCAAGTTGACTTCTGTGTCTTTTAATGTGCCCCATTCTTTTTTGATTAGTTTTGTTTGTTTGTTTGTGTTTGATGTTCTTTGTCCACTAAACTAGATTCTAAAGAGGCATAACAATAGTTATTTAATAGTGTGTATGAATTAGCTTTATAGGGCTAAGAGTTGAAAAAGTCCTTAGAGACCTTGTAATTAAACTCCTCCATTCAGTTCTAACACACATAGAGGATGGTTTACGGCTTACTGGACAGCATAATGCATTTTGCAGTGAAATTTATAATTTGTATTGCATTGAGTCAAAAATCTAATCTTTATTCCACATAATTATTCAGCTAAAGATAATTGTAAACTGCTAACAACAGCCTTGAATAAGCATTACTATAGCTGTTAACATTTTCCATAAAATGCTGTTTCACATTTCTCCCGCTCCCTGGTGATTGTGCTCTAAGTTCTTTGTCTTTTATTGTCTAAAACTCAAGCTAAATACAAGAGGAGGTGAGATGTTCAGATGCAGTCTCTTACCACTCCAGCTATTTTGATAGCCACATCACTAATAGCTTTGTGGTCACTAAAACTTCACATTTTCCACATGTCCTGTTAAGTGGTGGTTTCCCCTCATATACTTAACTAAATGGATTTATTAAGCCAAAAGCTAAGAGGTTTAATGTTTTTGTGGAATCATAGTATTAGCTTATTGATTCATCTTGTCTGCTAAGCCAAGTCTTGAGTATTATGAAATATATTTATTACGTCTTCTACATGAAAACATATCCCCAGTAAATATGACCGGCAAATTCCCTCATTCTGTTCATAATGAAAACATGTAGTATAGACCAACAGGCTAGAAAACAATTTGCAAAACTGTCTTGGAATAGTATGTGTTGGATGAAATTCCGAACAGGTCCAGTACTGGGAAGACAGGCTTAAGGCTTACATAAAGTACTTTAGAGGTAAATTGGGAGGTGCTGCTCAGGGACAGGAAAACAGGACAATGGCAGGGATGACCTGTCTTCAGTTTTCCTGGTTAAAAAAACATAAAGATCTGTTGTAGATTTTTGTTCTGTGTCTAAATTTTAGGTTTAATAAAAAATGATTCAGTGAGTAGTTTTGCATGTATTTAAATTTTTCACTTCACTACAAATGAATGTATAAGGACTATAAAGATCAAAACACTGAAAATCTTGGGTATAAACACACTGCTTCAGTTGTGTTAAGTAATGTTTTAATCTCATAAGTGGGTGCAGGGCTTACAGTTTTTATTATTATTTTTTCATAACCTAAAATACTTACAAAGGCCTTAGTAAAAGTAAATTTGAGCTAGGTGTAGTGATAACATGCCTGTAATCATAGAATTTGCAAGATGGAGACTATTCGGGTCTATACAGGGAATTCCAGGTCAGCCAGGTCTATATAGTGAGACCCTTTCTCAAAGAATAGAAAAATTGGATTTTTGTGTAATTTCTTCCATATCATGACTTACTATCTTGCCCTTAATAAACAATTCAATGGCTCAAATATAGTTAAGGGTGTGGGGGGGTGGTTCATTTTAAGAGAAGATCTCATTCTGTAGCCCAGGTTAGCCTTGAACTTTGGATTCTCCTGCTTCAATCTCTGAGTGCTTAGATAACAAGTATGTACCACCGTGCCCAGCTAAGTTTTGTATAATTTTAAATTTGGCATATAAGCCAAGTTTATCACTGTATCCTTCCATTCTGCAGAAGTACTTCTTATAAAACTCTTGAATATAGCCAGGCGTGGTGGTGCACACCTTTAATCCTAGCACTCAGGAGGCAGAGGCAGGCAGATCTCTGTGAGTTCAAGGCCAGCCTGGTCTACATAGTGAGTTCCAGGACAGCTGGGGCTACAGGGAGACCCTATCTCCAAAAAGACAAAAAAAAAAAATTGAATATAATTACAACGTAAGATAAATCATTAATATTCTAAAATTAGTATGAAAGAAAAATTTCATTTTTCCACTTAAGCAATTATGAATATTTATTGACAATCTTACTTTGTAGAACACCCAAACTTTTTAAGTTATTTCATATTTAAATTAGCCATATTATAGATAATTTCACAGGCTGTAGACTGAAAACTCAGTGGTCTCACAGATTGGAGAGATAGATCGGTGGTTAAGAGCACTGCTGTAGCAGAGGACATGCGTTCAATACCCAGCACCCACATGGGTGGCTAAGAACTGTACTTAGTTCCAGGGGAATCTGACACCCTCTTCTGACCTCCAGGGCATTGCCAACATGGGTGCACTTCTAACCTCCACAGCATTGCACTCACATACATGCAAGCAATACACTCATTCACATAAAATTAAAATATTTTTAAAAATTAAAATCAAGTGACCCAAAACAATTCTGCTTCATTGTATGGTATGGATCTGACATGTTCCTCCAAGGGCCAGTGCTGAAGGCTTGGCTGTCACTTGCTGGCATTATGAGATGGAGCTTATCTGGAGGAAGTAGGTTGCTGGGGTCATATATCTTTTCCCTGGATCCATCCTTTTTGGATTCCTGGCTATCATGAGGTGTCCTCCCCTGCATGTTCCCAAATGGTTCTCTACCTGATCATAGCCCTAAAAGTAATGGAGCCAGCCTATCATGAACTGAAATCTCTGAAATAGTAACCCAAAATAACCCTCCTTTTATGTTGTTATCACAATGATGAAAAGCTTACTAACAAGGTGCAAACCCAAAATTGAAAGCAGGAAGGAAATGATTTCCACTTCATAAGAACACAAAGTAGAATAGTAGTTGTCAAGAGCTGGAGTGTGGCTGCCTAGAGTGGAGTGTTGGTGTATTTAGTTTGAGAAAAAAGAAAATTCTGGAGGTCAGTAGTAGTGATGACTACAGAACACTGGGAGTGTACTTAATGGCTTTTAGTTGTACACATAAAAAGTTAAGATGGTAATCTTTGTTATATATCTTTTACCATAAAAAGATAACCTGAAGGTTAATTTATAAATTAAGCATATCTCAGCAAACAAAATGTGAGAAAAAAAAAGATCTTCCAAAGATAAGACCAAACTGACAGTATTACCACTAATAGAAGGATGTGTCACATCAAAGAAGATATTGGTTAGTAAAGCAGATTGAAAAGAAGAAAGCCAAACAGCCATAGTATATTTCCAGCAGAATTCAGTGCATGAAGAATGTAAGACAGGTACATGACTCAAGTAGAAAGTAATGAACCAGTCTTGAGATATTAGCCATGAAAAACACTAAACTTGTTTCTACTGCTTTTATCCTCTGATTATATTTTGGATTTGGCTTTCATTGTAATTTATTCAACACAGAGATAACCAGCAGACTCAACTATCCTAGCTCCAGCACCATTACATTTCTCATAAATTAATATATTAGTACTGATAGTTTTTAAACAGTAGTTCCTTAGTAATTTGTGATATGTGAGTCAATAACCCAGAGTGCAGTCACTTCCAAACCAATGCCAGGTCTGTGAAATAATCAGATATTGAAATGAAATAATATGCTCATTCTGTCAGGCTATGGATACATCTCTGGCAAGCCACTCAGCCTTCTTGGGCTTTCTCTTTTTAATGTGTGCTTTCCATTTCCATAAATTGCATTACCTATCACTTGTCTCCTGCCAGTAGATTTTGTGAACCTTGAGATGGGGGGCAGATTTTAAGGTTTTAGCTGTAACCAATAACCTTCCTAACACAAAGAAAAGTCCTGATAAATAAGTGATAAAAAGCCAGACAAGCACAGGTGTGTTAGTAGTCCTAACTATGGAGGCTGAAGGGGATTGCTTAAGCCAGAGAGTTCACGGCCAGCCTAGAAAATAAACCAAGAACCTGAATCATGTAGCTATGTGTAATATTACATAAGTATGCACATGCACACACACATACCCATCTTAGTTGGACACTTAAGGAATGAATATTGCAAAGTAAGATTCTTGTTATATGCCAATGAAGGTTACAAATGAATTTGTCTTCTGGCATTTAAGGAAACAGGCTCCAGGGTCAACATGACCCTCGCATAATGCTAGTCTGCAAAATCATCCAAATTCTGTCGCTGTAAAATAATTGATAGAATATGTGAATTGCAGAAGCATCACAAGCCTCATTAGGGAAAGTCATAAATCCCTTAAAGTGGCTAACTGGCCCTAAATTGGCAGCCTGGCCTTGCTCAAGCCTTATCAACTGATCACTCCCTGGACTGAGAGAGACTGTTAATGGAGCCCACCTGCCTCTTTGAGTGCTATAGATAACTCATCTGCATGCCTGAGAGAATAATCTTGGGAGAAGAGACCCTCAAAGACACTAGACCCTGGAATGGAGTTAACTTTTGGAGCTGTGTGCAGCAGAGTTTCTCTATAAATCCAGACTGCTCCCCGCTTTTGAGCCAGACACTCATTCCATGCTAAAGAGCGATAGAGGAACATATTTCTTGCCTGTTGCAGGTCTGGCTATGACTCCTATTGCTAAACTTCAAACTCCTTCCCTTTTCTGTTCTCCTAAATCTGACAGTGATGACAGTATAGTATCTCATGAATGTTGTGAGGATGAAAAAATCTGGCACATTAGTGGCACTTTGTTGTTAGACATCAATGAAATTTTTGAAAGACAAGTCTCAAGTTTAAAAAAAAGTATTGTAATTATGCACTTAATTTTTTTGTTATCTACTATACTACTCTGGCAGGATTTGCTTACCCCTTTTTGATCTAGAAGTATATGCCAGCCCTTTCCAACCCAGCACTGTAAAGTCATTACAGTGCTATTCAAACTTACTAACAAGTTCACAAAGCAAGCCAAAAACCAAAACGAGCTATAAGAATGAGTAAGTACTATGCTGGAGGTTGAATATATAGTAAACTGGGACAGAAGTTATTTGAAAAATATTGACCACTCATTTATTTACTGACTTATTTTGAGATGAAAGAAGAGCCAGTCACAGATGCTTTACTTGCAATGAAGTAGGTGTACTGGTTTAGATTGTCTGACCAGAAGCACTTCCGTTCTTTGGGACGCCTGTGCTATTCTTGAAGGTGTGCCTGATTTCTGATGAAAATGTTCTTCTGGTGAAAGTATAAGGTTCCCCAGGCTAGTACCTTTAAATTTAGTGACATTCTCCCTAAAATGGAATGACAGTCCACCCTAAACGCTTTCTCACGGTGACAACCAAAATCCAGCCAAAGGCAAACCTTTCTTTAAAATGTAGCTTAGTGTGGACAAGCCGTGCAGTCAGACGAACCTGAATTTGGACTCTTGGTAAGCACCATTGTGACCTTGAAAAAGTCTTTTTACCTACAGTCTGGGAGAAATGCTGTCCTGAGCTAAGTCGGCGCTTAAGCGTTTCTCTACTAAGGGTGCAAGCTGACGGACTGTGGCAAGGCACGATGACATCACTTCCAGGCGCCGGAGACCAGCGCCGGCTACTAAGTTCCCGAGGAAGGTGGGTGAAAATTGCTCACCTCTCGCTGCACGGAGGCTTTCGCGCACCTGGAAACGCGAGTGCTGCTGAAGCCCCTCCCCGCTTGCCTCCCACCTACGTGGGCGCTGCCCATCAGCTGGTTCCCGCCAGCGTTCTGGCCGTGAGAGGGAAGTGCTCACGACCTTTTGCCCGAGTTATGGCATTTGTACTTCTGGCGCGTTGGGCTGGGCTGCCGGACACGAGTCGTTCAAATAGGTTGCTATCTCCAGTCCCTGGTGTCCGCATCCTCTATTCAGATAATTGCTGTTTGGGGTCCCCTTTTTATCTGTCCGGGTGGCAGGGAAAGGATATGTTTTTGCAGTGCGGAAATGCTAGCGTGTTCAGTGAAGGATCGCTGTCATGTTGGGGTGCAAGGATTTGGGAAGAAACTTGGGAAGACATACCTTGATGGAGATTTAATTCCAAAGATAAAGGATGAAGAGTTTGGTTGCATTCATTTTTTTGTCGAGATGGTTTTCTTTTAGAGTGAGCTTTATGAGAAGATTGTTGCTTCTAAACTACAAAATCAAATCTTGGTTGGAGTGCGTGTATTTTAATAAACTCTTTGTGAACCAACTCCTTTACATTCTATTTTGAAAACAAACATTCCCAGAAAATGAGAGGCATTTATCTTTAATCGTTCTATTTGCCTTTTTTTAAAAAATAACCCTTTCAAAGGACCATTCATTTTAATATTGTGCTATGTTAGTTGTTAAAGTACAGATTGACCATCATCCAAAATGCTTGAGACCAGAACTGTTCCAAAATTTTTCTTTTAATTTTTTTTTTCTTTGCTTTGGAATACGTCATATACACGGATGAGGCCCAGGGCTAAGCATGAAATTCCTGTCTGTCTGATTTTCATTTGCATCTACCATAGCCAAAGTTATTTTATATAATGTTTTCATTGCCCCTGTGTTTCCACTAAGAAGTTAGATTCTCTGAGTGTTTTAGATTTTCAACTTGTAATACTAAAATTTTTTTATCTGATTTTCCCATTTTCCTCTTGCAAAACCTAATCTTACTTATATGCAAAGATTTCTTGAGTCTTTACAAGATTTTGATAACACTTAAAAATTCTTTATAATTCAGTAAGACAATGTTTTAAAAATAAAACAAGTGTTTTAATTGAATGGATTAATCTCAAATGTTAGTCTCAAATAACAAGTGGTTTTTATAATTCTTTTCCAGGAATTCTCTGTAGAGTAGTGAAAATGCTAGTATTAAGTAAGACAGCAAGAATTTTTTCCAAACCACGGAAAAGGGAAGTTCGTGGATTTTTAAGAAGCATTAATTTTCGTCCTGGAACATTGTTTCTTCATAAACTAGTACTGGGAATTGAAACCAGCTGTGATGATACAGCAGCTGCTGTGGTGGATGACACTGGAAATGTGTTGGGAGAAGCAATACATTCCCAAACCGAAGTTCATTTAAAGTAAGTGGACATTATTTTAGTTATTCCTTGATTTTTTTTGAAAAAGCAAAATGAAACCATTGTTTTGTATTTATCATGCATAAGAATTAAATTTTAGGAGCTAAGTTCTTTTTTTTTCCCCCTTTGGTCTTTTTGAGGCAAGGTCTCCCTGTAGCCCCAGCTGGCCTGGCACTCACTAGGTAGACTAGGCTGGCCTGGATCTCACAGAAATCTACCTGCCTCTGCCTTCCGAGTACTGGGACTAAAGGTATATGTCACCATACCTTGTGGAATAAGTTCTTATTCCGTTGTGTAAAAGCCTTTAAGAACCGCTATAGAAATTGTCACATATTTCATCCTGGCTCTTAAAGCTCCCCACAGAAGGTTCCAACTTTTGCCAGTCCTGATGAAGCTCATTTCCAACTCTAATATTTATCAATGATTTTTCTCTCAGTAATGGCTTAAAAAATGTTTTTTTCCCACATATATGTTTCATGGTCTCAACTGAAGTTCTAGGAAAGCATGGCCTGACCCCTAGCCTATGTTAATCACAAAATAAATAAATAAACCCTATTCACTTTTACACAGTTTGTGTTAGTAAGTTCTTAATACACTGCGGTATCAAAGCTTAGAAATTTTGTAAGCCCAACTGCTTTCAGAGGTCTACGAGATGGGTTACTTAAATAAAAGTTGGCTATAAAGTGCAAAATATCTGGAAGAATCACTACCTCAGCGTTAGCCACCAGTTGACACTCAAGAACCTAGGACTTAAGTCATTTAGAACATCAGAATTTTCAAATGAAAATGAAAACCCATTTTGTAATATAGTCACATTAGTAGCTCATTCAAAATACATTAAATATTTCTGTAAGTCATTAATTTCCATCATTTGAAAAATCTAAAGTTCTGGCATTTTGGCACCATGGATACTTAGTATTGTCTCAGTAATGTTAGGCAAATTCTTTTTTTTTTTAAATTTTTTTTCAGTTTATTATTTATTTAATAACCACATACTTAGAAGAAGCATTTCATTACAACAGCATTGATATACTCAATTTTCTGAGCTAAGATACATCTTTTTCAAAATTAGCTGTAAATTTTTAGTTTTACAGTTGAATTGTTACATCATACAATATTTTACTCAGTATAAACCCTATAAGACATAAAATTAAATGAGGTTTTAACCTTTAAAAAAGATCTCCATTTCATTATTAAAATACATAGTTTCATACAGAAAAATTCATTTTCAATGCAATTGACATTAAGATGTTTGCACATGCATTTCTAATCTCTATATATCTGATTATTACTAGTGACAGTCGATTAATTTCTGAGCTCCTTGGCATCTGAGCATGAATATAAAGTCATCAGGTAGATTTCAATGGTAATGTTTTTCACATCTACTAATTTTTTAAATTATTTATTTCATAACCAAATGATTAGAAGAGGCATTCTGATTCTTTTTTGTGTCAATAAACAATATCTGCCTTAATGGATTATAAATAATTTATGTGAAGAGATAGAGCCTCAAGCAGTGCACTGTGTGAAAGGGACCATGGTGGGTGTAAGTAAGGCCGATAGAGTACAAGGAGGTCTGTACCTTCAAGAATCTTAGCCTATTTGGAACATGATACACAAAGAGCTACAAAGAGAGCTAGTGGTATAAGGCAGCATAAAGTTAATTCAAACAAGTGTGATAAACAGCGATTACCATGCCATAGACCTTCCCAGTTTTTTTTTTTTTCTGAATGCACTGAAGTCTCAAATATGAAAATGTTAGCTTCACTGAAACACTCATCCTGGGCACATCATCTAAATTAGGTTACTCCCACTCTGCTCATTCTATAGCATTGTGCCCTGCATATTTTCTTTGTAATTCCTTTTACAATTTATACAGTTGTTTGCTTATTCATAATCTTTCCCCCAATAGACTCTTAAGATCCCTGGCGATGAGGTCTATATATGTATTAACCGCTACACCTAATGCCCAGTGCAATGTCTGACTCATCACAGGTCCTCAGTGGAGATGGGAAAAATACTTTAGCCTGAGTGAACATTGCCAGCAAAGGCAAAAAGGTGAAAAAGTACTGAACATTCAATTTAGCCAGAGCGTAGGTCACTGGAGAAGAATGCTAGGCTAGTATTTTTCAGTGGTACCACAGAACTCAGCTTAGCATTAATTGAAGGTCTGCCATTGTTAGGCAATACCTGGGTTACTGTGACTCCAAATATGAATATGACATATGATCTTTGCCTCTGTGTAGTCCACGATATCAAATGGGCATGTTACCAGTGATTAGGTCCAGGCTAAGGGTTTGCAGGTTCTTGAACTCTTATCCAAACACTGAAAATAAGGGCTCACACAGATTTGCAAAAGAAGCAAAATAACTTCATTTGCAGCAAAGCGATAGTGTAGGTTATAGAGGGAACACTCTCAAGGTTGACAGCATGCTACATGATTGAGATTACTCAAAGGCCCTGATTTTTGTTCAGGGATTCCTTTAATGGGGTTCAAGAGAGGTTTGAAGGATTGCTTACTAAGTGTGCTGGGTAGCTTTAATGTCAACTTGACACACCTGAATTGAGGAAGCCTTAGTTGGGGAATTCCCTCCATTGAATTGGTCTGTGGCTATGTCTGTGGGGTGTTTTCTTGATTGTTAAGAGATGTGGGAGGGCCCAGTCCACTGTGGGCAGTGCTACCCCTGGGCAGGTGGTCCTGTGTTGTATAAGAAAATAGACTGAGCACAGGCCAGGGGAGCAAGGCAGTAAGCACTCCATGACCTGTGCTCCAGCTCCTGAGTCCAGATTCCTGCCCTGAGTCCCTACCTTGGCCTCCCTGATGAACTGTAACCCGAGACTTGTAAGCTAAATAAACCCTTTCATCCCCAAGTTGGTATTGGTCAGAGTGTTTTGTCATGGCAGTTGAAGGCAAACTAGGACACTAAGGGACATATTTGAGGTGGTACTCTGTGTTGATTGATAGATGATTAGGTCATATATTCATTTTCCTACTGTGCATGTCCCTTCTCATAATGCATCTGATTTTAATTATGCGTGATATTATGTACAGCCAGTATGATGTTAAATAGGGGGTTCTTCTTGGAATGTTAACTAGAGGACACAGTTTTACCTTCGTGTGCATGTGCCCAAAACCTGTTTGGGCCAGATTGGCCCTTCTATTCATACCAAGATACTTTGAGAATAAACTTGAATAGAAACTGTTTAAATTTGATTTATTACTAGGGTCAGGGAAACATATTATTGTTCAGAGATGGGAGTATTTGTAGCCCAAGGCAGATGGGAGGGCCAAAGAAGTCTTGACATTGCCAGGTGTGCTATTTGGAGACAGTTGAGTGTGCATAGAACCTGAAGATGAAGGAAGCAGGCAGCCAAGCCCTTTACTACAAGAGGGCATGATGTCCCAGGGTAGTAAACTGTTTCCTATGTTTGTATCCTGCCTCAGGTTAATATGTAAGTTAATATTCTGTCTCAGCACTTAGCACTGAGATCATGCATCTTTCAGTTTTATTATCTATAAAATCTGGATAATAATGATAGTACTGTGTTAACTGTCAATAAATGTGAATTCTTTTAAAGCATTTGGTGCAGCCTTTTACAAGGGCAAAAGGTTCAATACAATCTAGCCATTATGTTGTGGCACTTCTGTTACTATCGTGCAGACAGATAGCAAACAGGTGATTGTAAAACAATGTGGAAAGTATAATAAAGGGTTGCTTGCTAGGGTAGTCCCGTCTTGCAATCCAGAAGCCTGAAGGACATCTTTCACTTCTCTCACTATTCCACATCAAAACCAGTCAGTCATCCAGTCATAGTAAACCTACCTCCCAAATAGGTCTCTCCTTTCTCACCAACTTAGCAATCCTTTATTTTCTCTTTTTGACCCTTGACTTTAGCTTCAAGGCTAAATGACTTCCTTGTCTCTGTATTTCCTTTCTTCCTTAATCTGCAGTCCATATTTTATACAAAGTATAATATGAGAAGGGAGTATGCACTCATTAATTACTTGACAATAAGTTCACAGTCCTAAGTCTATTCATTTCTTGTTCTTAGTGTGTAGCATAGTGTCTGGTAGATAAAATACACAAGAAATGAGTGGGAGGACAGGGACTTGAATTCAAATTCCAAGAACATGAATGTAGGAAAGTACAGTCAATAACAGGAAGTGCTTTCTTGTGTTCTCTGGCATCACGGTTGTGGGATGATTTCCAAGTATCATCAGACATAACTAGAAATTAAGGATCTATCTATTTGGTGGTGGCTGTGGGAGTGTTATATTAAACATTAAATGTGGAGAGGGAAAGAAAGCTAAAAATGAGCCTTGAGGGCCAGCAAAATGGCTCAGTGAGTAAAGGCACCTGCTTCAAGCCTTATGACCTGAGTTTGATCCCTGGAACCCACATGATAGGAGAAAACTGACTCATGCAAGTTGTCTCCTAACCTACACACACACACACACACACACACACACACACACACACACACAACCACACACACACACACACACACACACACACACACACACACACACACACACACACACACACACATAGACACACACACACACACCAGAAATAAAATGTAATTTTAAAAATATATAGTGGGGCTGGAGAGGTGGCTCAGAGGTTAAGAGCACTGGTTGCTCTTCTAGAGGACCAGGGTTTGGTTTCCAGCACCCACATGGTGGCTAACAATCATTGTCACTCCAGTTCCAGGGGATCTGATGTCCTCTTCTGACCTCCATGGACATTGCTTGTGCAGTACTCTTACATACATACATGCAAGCAAAACATTAATACACATAAAGTTTAAAAAAACATTTTCTTAAAGTGTAAAGTATATGCTAAAATAGTAGACATTTTTAAAAAATGAGCCTTGAATATAAATGATTTTGAGGGTCTGCTGCCACTAAAGAGATGAGGACTACAAGATAGGAAGTTTTTAAAAATGTGTTATAATATGGACTTGTTGAAAGGAAATTCTTTTTTTTTTTACTTCTTCCTCAAGACCTGAAATACATACATTATGTAGTACCTAACTATTCTTTGAATATTCTGACAATTTTCATTTCTGTGTAGAGGACCACCTGCATGATTTTGAAGTGTAAAGTATTTAAAGATGCCGTTTTGAGACCAGACTTGACTTTGACAGGCCCCATAAAACTGCATTGCTTCTCAGATTATAAATCACTTACATGCTTCCATAGTTGTCACTAGCAAAGTTCCTTCCTTAGTTTTCAGTGCTAGAGACTAATTGTAGGGCCTGGAGTCTATTAGGTAAATGCTTTACCACTGAGCTACATTCCTAGCCTTCCTTTCTTTTATTCAACATTTAGAATGATCATTTATTGTCCTACATAGACCGCAAGTCTCAGCTGCTCATTGTGATCACTACATTACCAAACTTTATTTTAGGATTGCAAGCTATCTGCTGTCCTGGTGTGACTTCAGGTGCAGTGTGTTTAAAAATGAACTCATCTTTGCAAAACTGTCTTTATGTTTCTCACTGCATTTTTTCTTCCAGTCATCCCTACCAAATATGAGTCTTTTTTTAATGCCTAGGTCCCTCATATTCTTGTATCCAATTAGCTGTTACAGTCTTCAAAGCTTCAGTCACCCAATTTAATATATAGTTATTTTATATAAATAACTCTTGGCAATAATGTCTTCAGAAATATCTCTCTGCAAGGAGATTGATTTTCTCAAAATATAATTTTATCTTTTCCTTCCTTTGCTCATGACTTCTTTTAAGTGCTTCACGAGATTATTTTGTGCACATGTGAAGTCAGTCACTTTATCGCCGTCATCACTTCACATTGAATTCTTATCACAGTGTTGCATTATAAAGCACACAATGTGAACATACATACTAATAAAATGATTAATTTGAAACAATGCTTTCAAATAGAGCATCATTTTTCTTTGTTCTTACAACCTTAATTTTTTAAAAATCTGTTTTCATTTCTTTCAGAGCAGGTGGGATTATTCCTCCAGTAGCTCAACAGCTTCACAAAGAAAATATTCAACGGATAGTAGAAGACGCCCTTTCTGCCAGTAGAATCTCTCCAAGTGAACTCTCAGCAGTTGCAACTACCATCAAACCAGGACTTGCTCTGAGCTTGGGAGTAGGCTTATCATTTAGCCTACAGCTAGTAAACCAGCTTAAAAAGCCATTCATTCCCATTCATCATATGGAGGCTCATGCACTTACTATTAGGCTGACACATAAAGTGGAATTTCCTTTTATAGTCCTTTTGATTTCTGGAGGTCACTGTCTATTGGCATTAGTGCAAGGTGTTTCTGATTTTCTACTTCTTGGGAAGTCTTTGGACATAGCACCAGGTGACATGCTTGACAAGGTAAATATTTAAGAATCAGTTCTCCTTCTGTTATGATGTCTTTCAATTATATAGCACTATACACCCTTCTCATCTAGGTATTTCTGAATGATACCTTATTATAACTGAAAATAATTATATTTAAAAATGTACAAAAAGGCTGGATGTGATAGCAGGATACAGTGCAAATTCCAGGCAAGCAGGGCCTACTTAGTGTGTTTGAGGCAACCCTTGGCTATACAGCAAGGCTTTATCTCAAAAACAATAATAATAATAACTTAAAAGCTTTATTTATTTTTATTTTTTGAGATAGTTTCATTCTGTAACTCAAGCTAGCCTGGAACTTAATATAAACCAGACTGGTCTCAAATTCACAGTAATTCTCCTGACTCAACTTTCCATATTCTGGGGTTATACATGTGAGTCACTATATCTGGCTCAATTTTTTAATAGCCATTCTAATTAAATGGGAAGGATGTTATAGCTATACCTAAAAGCTCAAATAGCTTGTAGCTGCAGCTATATATTTAGTCAAACACTATATGTGGTCATGCTTTAGAAACTGCAGCATGCCCTAAAAATGTAAAATAAGGCACATAAAGGTTAACATGAAATTAAGATGTTCAAAATCCTTTCATTAACTTGAAGAATTGCTGACACCACAAACATTTTCTTTTGTTTTTTGGCATAGAGCCTACTGCCATATGTGTATTTAAAATGTACTTGAACATCTGAAATGACAGGAAGAAAGAATAGGGCAGTTGGCTATTTTCAAAACTCACATTAATTACCTTCAGTTTCAATTTTCACCCCTACTATAAGAGAAAAACTAGACAAAAATGTGGACACTACTCATGAAGTTATTAGAAGGAAAATATTTTTCTGATTTCCTAAAATCAGCCATGGTTCATAACTGTCAAAGTATAAATATGTTACTCATTGGGAGTTTTAAAAGTAGGGGCTGGAGAGATGGCTCAGTGGTTAAGAGCACTGACTGCTCTTGCATAGGACCCGGGTTCGATTCCCAACACCCACATGGTGGCTACAAACCATCCTTAACTTCAGTTCCCGGGGAATCTGAAGCCCTCTCCTGACCTCTGTGGCGTTGCACGACACGGGTGCACTCACATACATGCAGGCAATATACTCATACACATAAAATATTTTAAAAAGTAATTCCTGACTTCATTATCTTTACATACTTTGGTTTCAAAATGTGTAATTTATGGCTCATTAAAAATATATACTTGTTTTCTTCTGATAGGTGGCAAGAAGACTTTCTTTAATCAAACATCCAGAATGCTCCACCATGAGTGGTGGGAGGGCTATTGAACATTTGGCCAAACAAGGAAACAGATGGCTTTTTGATATCAATCCACCCATGCAGAATGCTAAAAATTGTGATTTTTCTTTTACCGGACTTCAGCATATTACTGATAAAATAATAATGCAGAAGGAAAGAGAAGAAGGTATATTTCTAATTAATGAAGTTGGGCTGATAAATGTTCATGGATGGTGCCTAAAAGTACCTACTTATTTCCACAGGTGTTGAGAAGGGGCAGATCCTGTCTTCAGCTGCAGACATTGCTGCTGCAGTACAGCATATCACAGCATGTCACCTTGCAAAAAGAACACATCGTGCTATTCTGTTTTGCAAGCAGAAAAATTTGTTGTCTCAAACTAATGCAGTACTGGTAAGTTTTGTCATCTCATCTAGTAATAGTAGACTTGGCAGCATGGTACTTTTCCTCAAGAATTTATTGACTTTATATATTTAGAGTAAATAGGTCCTTATGGCATATTCTGGACAGTGCAGAGCAATACAGAATAGAAAAAAAGATTTATAGCCATTTTAAATATGCAATAACAGCCTTATGGGCATATCTACAGCCTGTGTAGCAAAAATATCCAAGGCCACATTTTCTCCTTGAACTTTAAATACAGTTAATAATAAACCAAATGCAGTAATTGCTGTTACTGTTCTTAGAAAAGTAGACTTCTACCCCCACTTTTAATGAAATCCTTTTAAACATGCTTAAAAGTCTTCCTATTTAATATATCTTAAATCTTGAAAATTAAAAAGTAGGGAAATGTTTAAATGTTGATAATTTGCAAATGGAATGTTAAATAAATGTTAAAGATAAGGGTTTCTTAAGAGTTGGATATCTCAATGAGAAAGAATATTTAAAAGCAAAAAATGCAGCCTAAAATATTTGTATACTGTGATTAGAATTATATTACAGATACATTTAGGGTGATGGTTAGAAGAAATTTTATAGAAATATTAGCAATGAATATATGCTCATATTAAAATTGTGATTACTAGCTTCAAATTTTTACTATGTAAATGTGTCACTCATTTTGGAACCCAAAATGTAATGGTCTCTTATTGTATAAAGCTGGTTATTTTCCCCATGTTTAGTTAACAGCTTGGTGTATAGCCATATGTGATAGTTGTTGATATTGGTCTTTTTTCTTTCAGGTTGTATCTGGAGGTGTTGCAAGTAACTTGTATATCCGACGAGCCCTAGAAATTGTAGCAAATGCAACACAGTGTACTTTGTTATGTCCTCCTCCAAGACTGTGCACTGACAATGGCATTATGATTGCATGGTAAGCCACAAGATATATGCAGTTTACCTGTAATCTTGTAAGTATTTATAACGTCGTGCTAAATTTTCTTCTTTTAAGTCTTGAGGCTATTGATTTTATTTTATTGATTTTCCCCCCCCTTTAGGAATGGTATTGAAAGATTACGTGCTGGCTTGGGCATTTTACATGATGTAGAAGGCATCCGTTATGAACCAAAGTATGTAGTACCATTTATCATCTTTATAGAAGTTACATTATAAGGGAGAAAGCCTGGAGTATACTCTTATATGTGAAGCTTTCATTGACATTCTGGTGGTATTTGAAGGAAAATTACTGTTTTTCATGAACCTAATTAAGAAGGTTTTTTTTTTTTTTTCTCTCTCTCTTTTTGAGACAGGGCCTCCCTGTAGCTCCAGCTGTCCTGGAACTCACTATGTAGACCAGGCTGGCCTTGAACTCACAGAGATCTGCCTGTCTCTGCCTCCCGAGTACTGAAGAATTTTTATATAGGTTCAAATTGTAAAAGTTTTGACAAGTCATATGTGAGTAAGAAACAAGTCATGGATAAAAGTAATATATTGTCTGAACCACTGAATGTTTAGGGTATCTAACGACTATCTAGTATGTTAGAAAACTTCAGGAAACATGAAAGAGCATTCAGATACAAGACTGAGCTGTGATTGTGTTCTTACAAGAATAACTGGGAAACAACCAGAAGTAGCTGCTTACTGTAAGCCTTATTTCCCTTCTCAAACCAAAGTTCCAATAGGACAATTTTTAAATTTCCTATCAAATTTTGATCCAAGTTAATCCTGTAATAATACAGGATAATTATGTGTCACGATTTGACTATATTTTGAAAACTATTTCTTTGATATTTTATAAAACTTCCCAGCACTGAACAGTTGTGCTACATGCTGCTTGTGAATGAAGAGTTGAGTTTTGGTAGTGTCTGAAAGAATCACTTACGTTACATACAGCCTAATCTCAGATGACATCATCTGATCCATTTGTGCTCTCTTGTGGCAGTTTTGAAGCTGGAGATGATGGCTTCATCCAGGTTGGGATTGGGTCAGAGTCTTAGCTTGACCAGTATCGTGAAAAAGCAGAAATCTGAGGTTACAAGTATTTACTGAGAGTAGGAAAAAATGGGTGAGAGGTTAAGACCTCACTCTCCAGTAGTGGCAAAGGCAAGTTGAAAAGGGAACAGCCAGCTTTTGAGATCTCAGAGAAGTCATAAAAACTGGGGAATTACAAAATATAAATGAGTGTAGGCATCACTGTGGGTGTTAAGGTGTTTTTTAGCACTTTATCTCTCTGATACATTCTAGGTAGGGCATCTTTTGTTATTTTTATGTTTCATCTTAAGGGTTATGTTTTTTGTTTGGTTTGGCTTTTTGTTTGTGGAATCCAGGGCTTTGCACATGCATAAAGAAGCATTCTACCACTGAACTATAGCCCCAACCTTCATTTTAAGTTTTAAGCTTAATAATTTATAGCACCGTAGAACAATAAAACTCTCTTTCAAATACATCTCAAGATTAAGATTTCTGATAATGAAGCAGTCTTCATTATCCTGGTTTGTGTATGTGTAGGAACTGTCACCACATAAGATGATTACATTACTTTACTCTTCTCAGAAATCTTAGCAAATAATGTGCAGAAGTCATGAAGGGTCATGAAGCAAGCATTTGAAGTAATGGGACCTGTCTGGTTTGATGCAGATGTCCTCTTGGAGTAGATATATCCAAAGAAGTTGCAGAGGCTGCCATAAAAGTACCACGATTAAAAATGAAGATTTAGTCTCTAAAGGCATCGCTTCTCAACCTTTTGGCTAAGATCAAGTGTAAAAGTGTCTTAAGGTAGTATTCAGCATTAAACTTATTTTTGTGTGTGTGTCAAAATATATAAATATGTTCATCAGTCATCAAGACTTTATTGTGCATATATGTGTGTGTACATGTTTGTGGAGGGGCACACGTGTGCAGGTACACTTGCGTGACTGTGCATGGAGGCAAGAGGACAGCCTCAGGTGTCATACTCAGGAATGCTCTTGACCTCCTTTGAGACAAGGTTTCCCATTGGCTTGGAGCTTCAATTAGACGAGACTAGGTGAGTCAGTGAACCCTGGGGAGCCACCTATCTCTGTCTCCCCAGCATTCGCACTACAAATTTGTACCACCATGCTTGACCTTTTTACATGAGTTGTGAGGATACAACTAAGGACCTTATACTTCCAAGGGTAGTACTATACCTACTGACTGATTACCTTTAACCCAAGATTCTTTTTTACCCCCTTATTTCTCTTCTTCTGAGAGGCAGTAATTAGGTGTTATAGTCTTGCAAAGAAGAAAAAGAATTTTCTTATCAAAACCCAAAGTGAAAACAAAAGGTAAAGAATGTACTGATGTTGGCTGGTTAAAGAAAAATAATCCTTGGAAGAAATAGAGTAATTTTGTTGATTCCTGGGTCCTCATCATGCATCCTAGATCTTTTTCTCTGTTTCTTAAATAAGAATAGTTAGAAGCTATCTTTTTACCTCTACTGAAACTGCACCTGACTTCTTTAATAAGAGAGCAATTTTGTTTTGTTTTAGGTCTTTTAAAAAAAATTTTATTGAGCTTTTGTACATTTCATACAACAGGTCCTAATCAAATTTAGACTCCCTCCCCTATTCCTGAACCCCCTTCCCCACTGGACTTCATGCGTTCTGCCATACATATTAAGTCCTATCCAGTCAAGCATTTGTACCCAGATGTCCTTCAATGCAAGTTCATCCACTGGAGTCTACATAGAGATGGTATGAGGGAGAATAGACCATAGAGAAGAGAGCAATTTTAAAGGATAACAAAGTCAGAGAATTCTAATTCAAGACAAACTTGACCAACAGAAGATGTGTTATTCATTATAAAAATAAGTCATTAGTGGGGCTGGAGAGATGGCTCCATGGTTAAGAACACTTGCTGTTCTTCCAGAGGACCTGGATTCAGTTCCCAGCACCCACATGGCATCTAACAACTGTTCATAACTCCAGTTCCAAGGGATCCGACACCCTCTCTGGCCTCTGTAGGGCATTGCATACACGTGGTGCACTTACATACAATGCAGGCAAAACACTCATGCGTGTAAACTAACAATTTTTTTAAAAGTCATTAGGTGTTATGTCTAGAATAAGACTGTATGTTTTTATAAAATCAACCTTAATGGAACCACGTGTATTCACATGTTATTTTAGAAATTGTAATTACTTAGATGAAAATAAATGAGATGAAAAAAATGTATTTCTTTTGGATAATTTTCTTTGAATTTGAACCTTTGTAATGCAAATACAAGTTTCATTATCTTTCCCACCTAAAGTAACTGTTTATACTGTTTTTGGTCATAAGAACAATTCTATACACTAGTTAATGTCCTTTGATTTTGCTAGTAAAGGTTTATGTTACATCTGTACTGAACTAAGTTGTTAGCTTTGATGGCTCTCTTATCAGTAGCCTGCTTTATTGAGAAGCTGGAAGTTTAGCATGGAAAAAAGATTTAGCATGGAAAAAAAAACTCTTTTGAGACTGACTCACTTTATAGCAGACTGGCCTTTAGCTCATGCTCCTCCTGCTTCAGCTTTCCAACTGGCAGGATCACAGGCATGTATGGAAACATTTCTTATTTTAATCCTGTTTTAAGGTAACTTTCTTCCTAGAAAGTTCTGTAAGCAGTTCTTTTGTTTAAATTCTGACCATCTATTTTCTCCTAGAAATAGAAAACTGTAAGTAAAGGACTATGTGGAAATAGCCAATACTTGGACTACTTTTATATTTTTTGCTGTATATGTATGATAGGATTGTAAAGAAGCAATAGTTAAAAGCAAGAAGTAGTTTGTGAATTCACACTTTACAATTGGTTTGCATTTTGTATATGTGATTCTGAATTGATAGACTAGTATAATTATATTCCTGTGACTACTATTATCAGAGTACAAATAAATTATAGAAGAAAAATTTCCAAATTTATATTTTTAATGTATGCATAATCTATGTTTTGAAATGTTCCAAATTCTGTAATCATGCATGTATATAAAAATTAGTTCATGATACAAATGAAAATAGTAAGAAAATGAGTAAATTCTGGAAAGCTTCTGTATCTTTAGTCCCTTGAATACTTGGTCATGAGGAAAGGAAGGAAGAGAAAGAAGGGTAGGATAAGGAAGAAACAGGCAAACAAATGCCAACGTTATCTTTACGGTACAGCTAAGGATGGACAATTCCTTAAAACCTTGTGTTTTTCTGTTTTTGAGACAGGATCGCCCTCTATGGCCCAGGCTGCCCTGACACTCCATAAACAGCTCATACTGGTCTTGAACTCTTAGCAAGTCTCCTATTTGAACCTCCCCCATCCTTGATGACATGATCCTCCATGCCTGGTGAAACCCTGTATGACTTCTTGAGGCTTTTCTCGTATATAGTTTTTTTTAATGAAAAAGAAAACATAGAGTAATAAAAACAATCTTTAAATCAGCATTGTTCTCTAGAACATAAATTGTAGGGATGGTAGGAAGGTTTGGCTAACTAATATACTAAGGAAATACCTGTTGATTCAATGCAAAGAATCCCAGATCCCCTGGGCATGGTGGTACACGCCTTTAATCCCAGCACTAGGGAAACTGTGAGTTCAAGGCCTGCCTGCCAGCTGGGGCTACAGGGAGACCTTGTCTCAAAAAAATAAAAAAGAGATTTAAAAAAGGAATCCCAAATCCTCGGGCCTGAAATGGTCTTAAGATGCCTTGAGGCAACCTGAAACCACTTACACAGGCCAACCACTGGTTTCTAAAGGCCTCCTGTCTTGCAGCTATAGGAGCTTAATAATAACTTCATAAAGTCTTATCCTTAATGGTGCTGAGTAGATGAGAGTTTCTAACCATTCACCTCTTTCTAGAATTAAATATACCATTTCTTCCCTGAATTTCCTATATTATAGTCCATCAGAAATAACTCAGACTAATTGATATAATTTAGAATTTAGATATTTAAGAGGTCTTTTATTTTGCAGTTTTGCAGTGGTTAAAAACACAGTCTGGACTGTGTGAAAGCCCTACATGTGCTGCCATCTTTATGATCATTATTGTAGTGATAGGCATGTTAGATAAGTAGCTATACATTAATATGCTTACTACAGTCAGGCAGAGGTACAGCAAGACCTTCAGAATATATGGAGGCAATTAAGCAGAGTGATAAAAAACAGATATAGAGGGTTTAAAGAACATAGTAAAGCCTGTTTGCATTTGTATCACGTTTGTCTCCTGCAAAATAGAAGACATACACCAAAACATGCACCTATTAATACAGAGGGATTGGGGGGGCGGGATTTTGTTTTGGTTTTTGGTTGTTTTTGTTAATGTATATGAGTGTATTATCTGAATGTGTGTAAGTGTGCCTATCTTGTGCAGTGCCTTCGGAGGTCAGAAGAAGGCATCGGATTCCCCTGGAACTGGAGTTAGGGACAGTTGTTAGCTGCCATGTGGGTGCTTGGATTCAAGCCTGGGTCCTCTGCAAGAGCATCCAGTGCTCTTAAGTGCTGAGTCATCTCCCCAAAATTAATACAATTTTGAGCAAAGACATCATACCATTCTCAGCGGAAGGAATATCCTTTTCAGCTGCAAACTAAAGATGCTTTCTATAGATAATAAAAAAGAGCTCTGGTGGCCACACCCTTATTTTTGCATGTTAATTTATATATATATTTTTTTATTATTCCAAAGAGAGGCAATTTTTCCAGAAATAACTTGAAGCAGGCTAAGGAATAAGAAATCAAAGACCAAAGGGTTTGCCAACATGGGGTCAACTTTGGTGGAATAACGAAGGTTTCCATTAGCTCTGTTCTTTTGTTGTTGTTGTTGATTTTCTTTTTTGTTTTAAAATCGTAATAAGTTTATTGGACTTGCTAACAGAGCATAGGGCGGGGGTTTATTTCCAGAAGAGTGGGTGCCCCCCACCACTTTTTGGATTTATGGCTGTGCTAGAAAGTTCACACTCAAATATAGATCATGTGACCTCCTGACAAAATGGTGAGAGAGGTGCCTCAGGGCATTCTCAGTTTACATATCTTTTTTTTTTAATAATTTATTGAGAATTTCATACAGACATATAAGCATATAAGGTGTTTTGATCAAATCCATGCCCACTCCCTCCCCTCCACCTCCTTCCATATCTCCCCATCACTTTTTTCTCATAACTTCATGTACTCTTCTTTTTGCTGCTCTAACATTCCCCCTCTGAAGAGGTAACCCCAAAATCTTTTAAGGATTAGATAAGAGCTCCCAGATACTTTCGACATTTTTGACCTTTGGAATGGAGTATGTTGCTAAGAGGCCCAAGGACATTTTGACTGTTAGCCAAGAAACTGGCTACTTTTCTTTGGGGTCTTTTTACACTAACTGCCTAGCCAATTCCTACCTCCTATTCTTATCAAACCATCCTCTGAAGAGGTTACCTAACTTGCAAATAGGGAATCCTGACACAGACCACTCTGGCTTCTTCCATGCTGAACAGGGACACAGGGTGTGGCAATTGGGATACCCTTTCAATGGGTTTATCTAAAAGACTCCCAAATTGCATAACTCTTATCTGTAGGGGGAAACAAAAGTCCTTGACTGGTGAATAGGAGATGTGAAGGAGAAGTAAAGGCAAGAGTAATTAGCATTTCAAGTTCTAGACAGGGAACTAGAAAAAAAGAACAGGGCAATTTTCAAATGTTCATATGAGAGTCCATTGGAATTTCTTGACAAGGGCTTCCAAAAGCATCCCTCTATTGGGTTCCTGCTCATTTTTCTTTTGTCTTGTAAGGCTGGACTCAAGAGTGAGGGATTCAGGATTTGCTTTCAGGTATTTTGATAGCTGTTGGTGTGGTTAGAATCAGTGTCAGTTCCCTCTCAAAGGCTTCTAGATGGGGGAGAAAACAAATTTAGCCATCATTTTAGAACAAAAGCGCATTGTTTCCCTTAGCTACAGGTGGGCATTACAGTATTGCAGACCAAGATTTGAAGTCTTACATCTGAGCGGCACTTTCTGATTCAGAACAAAATCATCAATGAGAAATAATTGTTTAAATAACTTTATATAGACTTAAGCCTACTGTCTGAGAAGTGTAATCCCTTGAACTCTTAAAGAAATGTACTGATGACTTTACTCTTTTGTTATCTTTCCTTTTGGGTGTTTAAAACCATACAGTTGGCCAAAATAAATCAATTTATACTTATACGTAAGGTC